GACTTTTGACTATTAGTAAATTCATCCTGAAAAGACAAATACTTAGTAGCTTTAAGTATGTGGAAAATTCTAGGCTCTGAAACAAATTCCAAAGTGCTCATAACAGCATCATGAGAATAAGTATATAATTTCTAAGATAATGACTTTGAAGGGGGCAACATTCATTTGTATCAGTGCTGGCACGTTTATTTAAAAGTCACTTTTAGTGCTTTATGGTCATTTCTTATATTCTCCCCCTGGGGAGTCTCATCATTACTTTGACCTTAGGTAAAAGTGTTTGTGGGAGCTGACTTTTCAGGCTTCTGGATAAGAAGGGGAAAGAAAGGAAGTTCTTTCTTCTTCATCCAGGTGCCTTCGTTGGCTTAAAGGGGAGAATCACATCTCCAATGTTTTGTCCCAGCTGAAGGTGTGCCTAGTTTTTTCTTTGCCTTCTGTGTAACCTAGAGTCATCTTGCCCTGGGGGAAAAAGGTCATGTTTGAAGTAGATTCTTTTAAAGTAGACAATAATTGCAAAAATGAATCATAGTTAAATGAAAGATACCTTTTTATTCATCCAGTTGGTTTAGACTAGCTGTATTTTATTTTGAAGGATTGTTGATTATAGGATAAAAGAGTTACTATCATTGGGAAATCTGTCTTCTTTAACTTAACAGTGGGAAACAAACTGCTTTGTTTTTTCCTATGTCATTTCTTTTTGTCTTCCATTCAAGATATTTCTTGAACTGGTAAAATTACTTTGAAAAATCAGCTTACTAAATGAGTAATCGTTGAGCTTGAGGTACTCATCACAATTAATTTCTTTTTTAAGTCATGCTAGATTATCTGGGTATTATACATAGATTTAAACAATGAGAATGCAGTTTTTGATTATCCTGTTACATCATGGCTTTCAGATGGAAAATTGTGGCAAAATCCCCATGTGCATGTTTGCATGCACGTGTGCATGCACATGTTCACAGACATACACATTCTTACTCACTTTCACTCACTCTCTCACGTATAAACTACTACTTATTACTTTTTATTCTGGGAAATAATCTAGTCCTCTGGATTTTTATTTGACAAGTAATCAGTTCCGTGATTGCATGACCAAAAATAAATGTGATTGCCTTGACTTACACTGTAATCCATTACTCAAACAGTTTTAGTAGGTCAGAAATGAAATTGAGACTTAACTTTTCATCATCATTGTTCTGACAAGAAATAGTCTTATCAGCTGTGTTATGATAGCAACAGAAAACTTGAAGTAACTTGCTGGGGCTTCTGCTAAAAATGAATCTGAACCCTCTATAAACCATACAATGTGTCCTTGACTAATTTGAGTGTGGTTGGTTAGTGCTGAAATAGAGGGCTGGACTATCTAGAATTTGTGCCATGAGCCACAGGGATGACAAGCTCTGGACAACGATTGCACAGGTGGATGGCACAGGGATGCCATTATTGCCCCTGAAAAGTCTCATTTATTTGGACACCCCCTTATTTAAGTGATGGCAGCTCTGGTTTGCCATTTAATGTTTTCCAAGAATGAATTTGTGCCTACTTATAATTCAAAATGCAATCCTAGCAGTCACACTTTTTCTTATAAAGGTCAGTATAGTGCTTTCGCTGTTGAAAGTAATGAATAACTCTTTTCCTCCAAAGAAATATTGATCTCAAATGGAATGAGCTTCCAAAACCAACGTAGGACTGCTTCAGAATCTACAAAATATTTCATTATAACTGATTGACTATGATCTGAGTTTTCAAAGAGCCTTGAATTTGCTTTATCTGGCTTCACAGTGGCCTTTATAAGAATTCTTTACTAGGCCTTTGGCTTTTTTCAGTTTCATAATTTTTCTCCCACTCCCTCCCCTTCTCCAGAAGATTGTGTGTTTCTCTCTCACTGTAGCTATGTGTTTAATCCAAACTCCTTTAATGGCAGGAAATCCTGCTTAGCCCCTTAAGTACTTTTTTAGTGCTTAACATAGGACTGAACAACTCCATGGCTTCCCTGTTTTCTCCCTCTGTCCCTATCTCTTCAGCAACTTTCACCACCTCCTCTTTGTTCCATTCTTTTGGAAAGAATAGGTAGAATCCTTCATGGAAGCATCACTTAGCTGCTATTAGTTAATTGAAAATAAAAGTAAGAGGGATAAAGAGAGAGCAGCTTTCCTAATATAGCTTCACAAGTTTTATTCTATTTAAAAGTGACAAGACTTATAGCTTAATACTTGATCTTATATTATTTACACAGTTTACTGAGTATTTGTACTAACATCTGCACCTTATTAGTCTTTATAATTTATATATTTTTTATACTTTATAATTTTTTTATAGTCTACTTCCGCTGAAAGGGCTGAATGTGATGGGGTAGAAGGGAACAACAACTTAATTTTTTTCTTCCCTTTCCCCTTTGAGCTCATTCTCTGGTTTCTTTCTTTCCCCTTCTTCTTGGTTGGAATATATACTCTCTACATATTATATTATATCATATATGTGTCTTCTATAATATATACCCTATAACTTTTTCTATCACTTTAGATTACAAAAGAGTTCTCACCACTTCTAGTCACAAGAGCAGTCCAATTTCAGTGCTTCAAATGTCCACTTTGAACTTTATTAAAAAAGTAAACCTTCCCTTCCGCAGTTCGGGCCTGCCTCAGGGTGGAAGCCAGCAGAGGGGAGGGGGCCCCTTTTACAGCTGTAGGAAGTAGCCCTTGCTTCCAGAGCAGCTCTCTGCATTCAGCCACCACAGATGGCTTCCTGAGTTCCTGCTTCTTGAAGGGGGTTAGACACCAGTCTTCTTTGTACCCTACAATTATAGTTTCCAGGATAAGCAGGTTGTATTCTCTTAGGGTCTCTCAAAATCCCCTTCCTCTTGGTTTAAAGTGCCAGAAAATAACCTCCTTCCCTCACTCATGGAGGGTGGTAGGAAATCCCACAGCACCCTACCAACTTTATCCAAAGAGATTTTTCTGGACATCTTTACCCATAAGCTCCTGAAGGTGAATATTGGGCTAATGGGTTACAAATCATTTTTACTTACTCTCTGTACAAGTTCAGTATAACATCTCTTTTTAAAATACGGAAATATTTGTTACCTACTTTGTCCTTTGTAAGCTTCATTGGAAATGAGTCAGAAAGAGTTCCATCGTAATGTGCTAGTATAGCAGTCATTTATTAGTGCTAGTGCTAGGCTCAGTTCTTTATATACCTTATCTCATTTCACTCCCATTGCAATCCTGAGAAGCAGGGATGACTATCCCCATTTTGCAGATGGAAGACAGGCTCAAAGAAGTTAAGTCAGTAGCCCAGAGTCACACAGCTAGTAGATGGTAGAACCTGGATTTGTCTTTAGGTGTGTGTAACTAAACAGTTTTAAAGGAAATCATATGAAGCCAAGGATTTGCCTCAAAGTAGTCCAGGGTAGGTTGTGGGAAGGTGGGTAGGGTATTGCTGAAACAACGTTGGCCTCCTGTTGATAATCATTGACTGGGTGATGAGTACATGGGAATCATGATGACTTCTCTATTTTTGTACATGTAATTTTCCTTTATAAAATGTTTTTGTTTTTTTTTGGTGTGAGCTCTTAACCACTGTACTACTGTGTTTCAAATTTAAGTTTATGCACCATTTTGTGGAAAACAACTTCTATTTGGAAAATTGTATGAAAGTTTTTTGGATTAAAAAATACATACAAAGTTAGGTGGTTTTTGTTGTTGTTGTTCTGTTTTGTTTTTAAAGCTAATAGGAACCTACCTTTCTGTAAGCATTTAAAGTGTGATGAATAGCAGCTACGTGGAAGGCTGTAACCCAAGAAACAGTCTTCAGGAATCTAGTTGATGTCACCACTTAAAAGCTGTTTTTACTTCACATAATTAATAGTCCTTACATATCAGTCATTAACTGGGCTCAATAATCAATTTTTCAGAAATTACTGCTTTACTAAAGTCTTCCTTATATATAATAACACGATCAGTATGAAAGAAAAGAAGAGCTGTGGCACCAAGCATAGGGCTTGGGGATGATCTTTTTTTTAAGAAAAATGGATGTTCAAGAAATTGAGGTATGGCAAGTGTATTGTGTGAGCTCCGAGTTCTGATGAAACCTTGAAGGTGAATTTCTTTTTAATGCTTTAACTGTATTCCAGAGTCAATTTGGCAAATGCTTTTTAAAATTGAATTGTAGACTCAATTGAATTGGTAGATATC